GGGCTCCCTCTCGCACTCCCTCTCGCACTCGCAGCCTGCCCTCGCGAGTGCGAGCCGCCGGGCGATCCTTGGCCCAGATGCCGGGCTCGCGTTGATGGCGCGTCCACGTCAGCGTGTGGACGCGCATTGTGGTGTTGATGATGTTTTGGTTTTTTCCCACCCGCCAGCTCCCCTCTGCGGAGGTTCCGCCTGGGCGTTGCCCCAGGCCCTGAGCTGTGCAGGGCCCGGGGGCGTTTCTCACGGTGATCTGTCGCAAGGCGAGGTGAGAGTTACTCACCATCGCATTGCGACCCGGCATTCGGCATCCGGCATCCGCATCCCCAGGACCAGCAGGAGACAGCCAACCCGCGGAGCGGGCGCGCAGCGATCGGGGATTCAGCGTGACGATGAGCCGTGCGTTTACACTTTCCTGGCCAACAAAGCTGCAAGCTTTCTGGAGTTGCAAGGCGGCTGAAGTATTGTATTGCCAAAGGATAGCAGTCCACCCCACCCCATCCCATTACTGCCTAAAGGACCAGTGTGTTACCCAGCACCCGCCTGTCCTGTATACATGATGAAGGTCGTTTGCCGCATCCTCTTGGCTTCGTACGTCTTCTTCGCCGCTGTGGCCGCTCCCACGCGCAGGTCGGTGTCAACTTCCATACACACATCCATCCATCCTTCCGCGCTGTGTGTGTTGTGTGTGCGTGTGTGCCACAGATCTCCCAGCACCAGCAGCAGCACCAGGGCCCTCCTGCAGCCATCAAACAGACGTAATCACCGTAGATCTGACCACAAGCTACGCCTCCTGCCCATTTTCTGCCCTTTGATCCATCTGTCCATCTGTCAGAGGAGCCTGCGTCCTCCCAGCCGGCGGAGAGCACCGAAAGCAGCACCAGCAACAGCAGCGGGAGTGAGGAGCTGGCGAGCAAGATGGAGAAGGACTTGGAGATGAACTTCAACAAGATCGCACCGTTCGGCAAAGAGGACACCGCGCAGGAACTGCAGGACCACGCCAGCAAGACACAGGTGGGTGGGTCAGGGGAGGGAGGAGGGAGGGAGGGAGGGAAGGATGTGTGTGTGTATGTGTGTGGTTTGGGTGTGGCTGTGGTCTCATTTCTGCTTGGCACTCAGGATGTGCTGGTTGATGCGGTCGAGAACGCAGAGGTGGCCGAGATCAAGCGGGCCGTATTCCGGTACTCTACAGAAGGGATACACTATTCGACAGAGAAAGATCCACACACACACGCATGTGCTGTCTGTGTATGTGCAGCGCTCTGACGCGTCTTCGTGCTGCTACTATCAAGGAATTCGACACCATCGCGCGGCTCCAGACACAGGTAAGCAGCGACAGACCAGACCGCACCGACCATGTGCCTTTCCTTCGCCCTACGTATGTGTGTGTGGTCGTGCGTCGGTCGCTGTGTGTTGTCTGTCAGTCTATCGACGCGTACAACGATGCCCACCACTACCGGGGGGAGAACCCACTCACACACCTACACGAGGACGAGGTGCGCACCAACGAAGGAACGTGTGGAGCGTCGCATTCCATTCCACAGACAGCGCGTCACGTTCTCATCCGTGTGTGTGTGTGCAGCCGCCGGTTGAGACCGACAAGCTCAAGTCCTTCCACTAACCTGCTCACGCACCATACCAACCAACCATTACCACACACAGCCACACCTTACTTACGAACAAACACATCAACGGTCCCTCTCGTTAGCATCGCATCGCATACACGGCAATCCCCCTCCCTCTCTCCACACACAACACGGCTGGGCTGGGGTGCGTGCGGGTGGTCGTCAGCACCCCCTCCCACCTCCCACCTCTCTCTCTCTTTCTCTCTCTCTCTCTCTTGCGTGTGACTGCGTGTATGGGGGCGAGGGGAGCGGGGCAGGCTGCTCTAGGGAGTGACTGAATGTGTGTGTGCGTGTGTGCGTGTGTGGATCCATCCGTCGGTGGGGTGGTTGGCTAGGCTCTTGTATCCATTATCCATCGCATGAGACCCGTATTCAACCATGTGGTTGGCGAGTCGATAATCGATGCAGTCAGCATTGATATGTAATCACAGTCAGTCTGTCCACCAGCCACCGCACCCTACGTCCCTCTGCCCGATTTGACCGCCATCTCAGTCATGAGATGAGAGAGCAGACATTAGAAGGCAGGGGGACAGACGCACACGAATGAAGTGCAAGTCTCTCTCACGCAGGCCGCGACATCACACACACACACACACTCATACGAGTCCGTCGTTCCCTCTCCTCCCCTCCCCTCCCCCTTACACCTACAGACACACCTCTCCCCTCTATGCCCCACTCACACCAACATCCGCTAAGCAGTCTTCTTCCCGTCACGCGATGTCAGCCCACGGGTCCCCCTCACACGCCTCCACCGCCTGAAACACCGACCGCATCCACCCCTTCACCGCCTCCATCCGACGCGCCTCATTCCGCTCCGTCACCTTCAGCCGCTCATGGTACCGCCAGAACGTCGCCTTGAGCGTCTCCGTGTCCATGTACTCGGTAATCTCCATCTCATCCGGCAGCGGCTCCTTCTCGTAGCCCAGCACATCCTCCTCGCTCATCTGGTCGCTCAGCTGGCGGTCGGCATCCGTGGCCGCCTGCCGCTTCTTGAGGTCACGCACCGCTGCCACCACCCTGCCGACCAGCTCCTCCGTCTGACGGTGCCTCTCTGCCGCGGCAGCGAGCCCGGCAGCCCATGTGTCGTCGAATTGCGTGCTGTCCTGGGGGATGGGAGGGGGGTTGGGGGGAGGGGGCAGGTTGGCGACGGCTGGGAGGGCGGAGGCGTATGCCTGGAGCGTCTTGGGTCCCGCCCCGAACTGCTTCATGCACTTGACCAACTCGCCGTAAGGGCCCTCCTCGCTGATGTCCACTTCCATCGCCTGCCCGGCCTCCCCCTCCCCCTCCCCCTCTCCCTCTCCCTCTCCCTTGACCTTGACCTCGTCCGTGGCTGGGGCCATCGACACATCGGTTGGCGGCTGCTTTTGCCGCTCCGCGGGTGTGGGGGTAAGCGAAGGGATGACGGGGGGCTGTGAGGGGGCGGCAGCTGCAGCGGCAGCTGCTGGCACCGCAGTGGGTGGTGCAGGTGCCGACATGTCTTCCTGGGGCTTCTCTGTGCCTGCCGCTTCGACCTTCACCTCGTCCTTCTTCTCCTCTATCTCCATCGCCGTCGTCCCCTCGGCAGCGTGCTCGGCCTTCTCTTCGGCCACCATGCCCTCCTGTTGCTGCTGCCGCTGCTGCTGCTGCTGGGCCTCCTCTGTCTTGTGCTTGACCGCCAGTGGTGCGGCCTTCTCGGGCACAGGTGGTGTCTTCTTGGGCTCGGGTGCGGCCGGGGGGGATGCCTCTTCTTTGACGACGGCAGCAGCTGCTGCAGCTGCACTGGCGGCAGCTTGTGTGGGAGAGGTGGTGGTGACGGTCTTCTTTTTCTTCTTCTTGGGCGGAGGGGCCGCAGGAGGCACCGACTCACCACCACCAGCAGCACCAGCACCAGCACCAGCCGCAGCACTGCTGCTGCTTGCGGCATCAGCCATCCCCTTGTCCGCACCGGCCTCCTCCTCGTGTGGCCTCTTCTTCTCGCCCTTTCCGCCAGCCTTGGCTGCTGGGGCTGCTGGGGATGCTAGTGGTGGCGCCTTCTTGGGGAACGATGGGGGCGGCTTGAGCCGCTGGCCGGGCTTCTTGGCTTCGGGCGAGGCCTCCTTGGCGGCTGGTGGAGAGACCTGCTTTGCTGGCGTCACCACTGCAGGGGCAGAGGCCGAGGAGGGCTGCTGCTTGGGTGCAGTGGGCTGGGCGGGCTGGGCTGTGGTCTTGGGCTGCGGCGCCTTGAGCTCGGGCACGGCAGCCGGTGCTGAGGCTGCTTTGGCACTCTTCCCAGAGCCCACACTATCACCTGACAGGCGGAACACCAAGATGCCATGCAGACACACACAGGTCATTGTGATGCTCACCAGCAACCCACCCCTCTCTCTGCATTCACTTACCACTTTTCTGACGCAGCTGTCTGCCGGTCTTGGCCTTCGGGACGACAGGTGGGGCCTTGGGATGCTGGCTGGCAGCGCTCGAAGCACTGGCAGCAGCTGCAGCTGCTGGTGCTGCTGCTGGTGCAGGGGGCGCTTGTGCGGCGCCGGCACTGGACGGGGAGGCATCGAGTGGCGACTGCGACCTCTTCCGCTTGGTCTTGGCCTTGTCCTTGGCTGCACTCTTCCTCTTGGCCGCATGCTTGGGTGAGGGGGCACCTGCTGCCGTGGGGGACGCGCCGGGCGATGCCTTCGAGAGGCCGCCAGCGGACTTCTGACGCGCTGGCGCGTAGAAGATGATGTGAATGCACAGACACAGAGGTGACGGATGCCCGAGTTGGTGTTGGTGATGGTTGATTTCCGTGTGCATGAGGTCTCCTCACCTGGTGGTGCTTTCGCGTCGGAGAAGGTTCTTGGCAGTGGCGGCTTGCCTGCCGCCTTCGACGCGCTTTCGCCACCGATACCCATCCCCTGCACACGGGCAGACAGCCGTGCATGGCTTGTGCCAAGTGTCGGGAGGCTGGATATGCGCACCTACCTGTGCGGCAGCAGCTTTTGCCTTGGCCTTGGTCTTGGGTCGAGACGCCACAATGTCGGCCTCGCCCGCGTGCCCCTGACCCTCGGCGGCCACCCCTCGCTGCACACAACAACGCACAGAGAGTGAGTGATAGTGGATGCACCCGATGCCTCCCTCTCCCTCTCTCTCTCTTCCTTACCCTCCTGCCCGCAGCGGCACTAATCGCAATCTGTCCCAGCGCTACCCCGAACAGCCCTCTCGCCCGACCCTTCGAATCATCGGCTTTGCCGTGTCGCCTCTCGGCAGCCTTGGCCGCCGCCTCACCCCTCTGCTCACCCGGCTCACCCTCGTCCCTCTCCTCACCCGGAATACGAGCCTGACCTCGACGCAGAGGCGGCTCCAGCGGCATGGGGATGGGGGGAAGACCGCCTCCTGCTGCTGCTGCTGCTGCTGCCGCTGCTGGCGTGGGTAGTAGTGGTGGTGCAGCAGATGGTTCAGCAGTCGACAGAGGTGGCGTCGCGCCGGTCTTGCCGGCCCTCAGCTTCGACTTCAGCGCCTCCAATCGAAGCTGGTCGGGTGTGGGCGATTGGCTCCGCTGCACATCGACCGCACCGCTGCTTGGACTCCCACCGCCAGGCTGGGCGGATGATGTCGCTGGCGGCACCGGCAGACCCGACGAAGGGAGGGCTCCCGCGCTCTCGGGCTGTGTCATGTGGGGCCTCGGTGACAGCCGCACATGCGCCGATGCCTTCGGCCGCAGGACGGGCGCGGGTGAGCCTTGCGGGGAGGCCTGCAGGACGGGTGGCGACCCTCCATGCTGCTGATGCTGGAAGGGGTCGAACTGCGAGATCGCAGGTACCTCCATATCATAGTAGGACACCGGTGGGCGGCCACCTGGTCCAGGCGGGGGAGGGGGAGGGTGGTCCTGAGGTGTCTGGTGGGAGGGGGCGTTGGGCCCTGGGGTGAGTGTGGCCGACCCCACCGGATAGAAGGACATCCCTCGGCCTCCGCCGCGGCCACCGCGGCCACGCTGATGCGGATGAGACATAGTGAGCAAACAGCTTGTAATCAAATCAATCACTTCACCAACAGGAGGCCTGAACACACAAGCAGCGGGGCAAACGACACACACGAGGAGATGCGGTCACGACGATGCATGCCGAAAGGATTGCGTGTCTGCCATCCTTGCCCTTCCTCGTCGTGTCTGTCCCGTGTTCCTCACCTGCGGTCCTCACGAAGCTCTGCTTCAAACAAGTTCGCAACACGTCGTTTAAGAACGCCCGCCAACAGCTGCTGGCAGTCGTGGGCAGATGGCGTGAACAACGGCCAGACTAGCGGGGAAACACATTACTCCGCTGCCTCTAAGCTCGCATAATGCAGCCTAGGGTGCTGCCTGTAACCGCTGCTGGCGGCGCATGCGGGGGAGAACAGGAAAGGATAGGAAGGGCTTGTGCTGCTGATGCTGCCGTGTGTCGAAGAAAGGCGAAGCGCCTGCCTGACATCGTGTGTCTGATCTGCTCCTCTGCTTATCTATGATGCGTCGGCGAAAGGAGCCCGACGAGGCCTCTCTGCAGGCAGAATCTGATGAGCCTCCCTCGCCGCAGAACGCCCTTAAGTCGCCGCGAGAGATCTACAAGGAGTGGGCGCGGGAGCAGCCCGACCGGTTCCGGCTGCCGGCCGACTTCCAGGTGCACGAGAAGCCCCGGCAGATCATCTACGGCTATGCCTTCTGTGCGGTGCTGCTTTATCTGGGTTTCTACGCGCGGCCGCCGGCGACGCAGACGGGCGTGCTGAGGTATGCGCTGGGCGGCGTGCTGGCCAGTGTCGTCCTCTACTCGTTCCTGCAGGTACGGCTCGGCTCATGAAGGGTGTAATGTGGTGTGGTGGATGGGCAAGGTGGTGCAAGCGGAGTGGGTGATGGTCCGTATGTGTGTGGGTTCAGACTCGTGACGGGTTGCTTGTGCGGCCGCATCCGGCCTTCTGGCGGTGTGTGCACGGCGTCTGCCTCTTCCACTGGTTCTTCGTCATCGCTCTACTGCTGCTGGTGCGAGAGATCGCAGGCCAAAGAGAGAGGACGGCGTGAATGGCTGGTTGCCTGCCTGTTCATCTGGGCGGGCATTCTTATGTGTGTGTATGAGTGCAGACACCTGACCAGGGGCGCGAGTTGATGTATCTCATCTTCCCCGGGACGAGGCCTGACCCATCGCGGCGCAAGAATGTCTTCGATGTGAGTGGCGGACTGAGCCAGAGAGAGAGAGAGAGAGAGAGAAGCCCGCGAAATGCACTTCTCACTGTCTGTCCATGTGTGTGTGTGTGTGTGTGTAGGGCACGTTGGAGATCGACTGCCGCATCAATCTGTCGACAGTCATCCGTCAGATCCAGACGCCATGGTTCACCTCCCACATCATCGGCTGGTTCCTCAAGGTCAGCAGTACCTGACCGACCCCACACCTCCCCCCCTCGTGTGTCTGTGGATGGATGGATGGACGGATGGATGGATGAATGTTGGGTCGCAGATGTTGATGTATCGTGACTGGAAGTTTTGTCTTGTGCTGAGCACCATGTACGAGCTGTGCGAGCTGTCCTTCCAGTGGCTCATCCCCGAGTTCCAGGAGTGCTGGTGGGACAGCATTCTCATGGACTCCATCGGCGCCAACCTCATCGGCATGACCCTCGGCGTCGGCCTCCTCAGGTCAGGCTAGATCCTCACTCGAAGCGCGTGAAGAGTGTAGTGTGTCCATGGTGTGTGTGTGTGTGTGTGTGTGTGTTTAGGTGGATGAACGCGTGGGAGTTCGATTGGGTCGGCCAGCGGCCGCTTTATCAGCGCGCCCTGCTGCAGTTCACGCCATTCTCCTGGTCAGAGTACCAGTGGGCTTTCTTCAAGTCGCCAGACCGGCTGCTCGCGGTGAGTCTAGTGAAGTCAAGGCAGGTCAAGTGGCAGAAACACAACACGAGCCGGACAGGCAGACGTGTGTCGGTTGGCTTGTCAACCAGGCATTATGGCTGCTGGCGATGTCGCTGCTGACGGAGCTGAATGTGTTCTTCTTTATGTACTCGCTGGAGCTGCCGGCCAGCCACTTCATCCACCCTCTCAGATGCATCTATATCTGCCTTCTCGCACTCGTGAGTCACACAAACAGACACACAGAGGGGGAGAGAGATAGAGGGAGGGAGGACCAAGCCGCGCGCCATTCATGTCATGTGTGTGTCATGACATGACTGGGTCAGAATGCGGTGCCCGAGCACTATGAGTACATGAACACCCACGGCAAGCGCATCGGCCACAACGAGTGGCTGCTGGGGGGAATCATCACCGTCGAGTGCCTCGTCAACGTCAAATACGGCGCATCCAAGTCAGTCAAGAGATGGACACACAGACAGACAGACAGACATTGCCTGTCCCTCTGGCGCATCATGTTGATCAGGTGGGCGAGCATCGTGCCTCCTCTCGGCGTGTGTGTGCCCTGGTGCGTGTCGCTGGTGCTCTTCCTCATCTGGTGCACATGCCACTTCGCCACGTGCGAGAGAGACGTGTTCGAGGGCATCAAGCAGCCGCTGACCCAGACACACACACAAAACAGCGCCCAGCAGAATGGAGCATGCCACCAACACTCAGCAGCCGAGAAGGGGTGCTCTTCGCAACAAGTAGGTCAAGAGAGATGGACAGAACGAGGTGCCTTGATGGTGGATGCCTCTGCTTTGCTGTGTGATGGTTAAAACAGGCGGGCTGGCACTACGGTGTTGCGAGGGCGGTTGCGCGTGTGCCGCCGCTGCTGGTGTTCTCGCCCCTGGTGTACCTGTTCAAGTACTACGACTACACATGACCACACGAGTGGCCACGTATGTGTCCCACCCAGGAAGCCAGCCGACACAGCGAGAGGGGTGGGTGGCAGAGGATCGGCTGCCTGGTTTTGCGGTGATATAAGTCCAGACAGACAGACAGACAGATAGATAAGGGAAGGCATTTTCTAGTGAAGAAGATGGTTCACGGTTGCCTGCCGTGTGCTTGTCTAAAGTTGGCTCGTCTCCGTGTGTGTGATTGGGAGTGGCTGTCTGGCCGTACGAATGGTGGCCTTGCGGCGACAGACAGTTTGGATTAAACCAGACTGGCTTTCACCACTCGACCACCGTCCTGCCCCCCAATCAGCCATCCCATTACTCCGACCCGTGTGCATCATGATATGAATTCGCTGTTCGAGGACTGCATGAATAGACTGATTCGATATTCGTTTCATGACAATGAGGATCGACTTCATTTTCGCATCATCCGGTGTCTTTGCACACGTGCCATCCTCCTCTCGAGCACAGACATCACTGGAGTAGTGGGTAGATATGGCTGCTTAGCTAGTTCCCTCCCCCTCTCTCGAACAAATCAGTTGCAGCTTTGAGTATGGCCCCACTGCTGTCAAAGCCAATGACGTATCCCTCCCCCCAGCCCACACACTCGCCCAGCCCCGCACTCTCCACCACCTCCCTCGCCTTGGCTGAAATAATTGCACGCACATCCCGATGACTCCCAGTCCCCTCCCAATACACATTGCAGGCCAGCTCGTAAAGGGGAGATGGCCCACTGGGGACAGCCGGCAGCCGCAATGGCACACGAGTGCCGTCAGCTCCGAAGAACACCCCCTCAGCGGCAGCGGTGCTGTCGTCATTCTCATGCCGGCCCTGATTGCCGTGGTCGAGAATGAGCGCATGGACGCCGTGAAGCCCTCCCCGCTTCTCTCTCACGCCGAGCATCGCATCCTTGACGCGGCGGAGGATTGCTGCATCATTCGACTTGACAGTGAAGGGCAGGTTGAAGGCCGTGAACCACGGGACGGCGCCGACCACTGCCACACCGGTGCGGGGATCCCACACAGAAGGACCGAAGTCACTGCAGAGAGGCTGGTCTTGATCAGCCGCATCATGGCTGAAGTAGCGCCTTGTTCGTCTTCGTGCGTCGACCAGGGTGCCATAGACAGGAGCGCCGTACATGAACACGGGAATGCCGCACTCTTCACCAAGTGCTTTCCCAACCGCCTGTGCGTGCGCCAGCGCGTCACCGAGAGTGCTGTCGCCCAGCGGGTGGACAGAGATGTGGTCAATCAGGCCCACACGCGGATGAGTGGCCTGGTGACCCTCCAGGCTGAGATGCTTCCACAGATAGCGGGACGCCTGCAGGACGCCCCCCAGCAGCTCAGGCGAGTGCCTCTGGTCTTTGTGCGTATCAGCTGCAGTTGGCTGAGCCACGAGAGGTGCTGCGAGAAGGAAGCTGCTCCTGTTGTAGATGGCGTCTTTGAAGTGAAAGAGCAGGGCGGCCCGATGAGAAGTTAGGTGGGTCTGCACTTGGGCGAGGACCGCAGCGCTGTGCGCCTCAGAGATGAAGACGTTGCACGCCAGATAGCGACGCATCTTTCAGATCACCCTGAACAAGCAGACACATGGGACGCCGAGCAGTGAAGCATGAGATCTCTGTGACTCAGTCTTCTTACAGATCTTATGCTCGACGTTTTCGTTAGTCCTCAGACGTTGATCAAGGCAGTGGAGTTCACGACCCCCCAAAAGCACCACCTGGGGGAGTGCTCTAGGCTACTTGTTTTCCGTGTGTTCGCCCGATCGCTTCTTCCGGGGTTGCCAATCGACCGACATAAAGAAAAAATCGGCCGAAAAAAAGGCTAACACAAACACGGAAAAGACGCCAGAAAAGCGCATGCAGCCCCCACCCCCCCTCCGACGCTGCTCCTCCTTCACTGGAGGAGCAGCGTCGGAGGTCTCATAAAGGCCCCTCACGCACAACGGCGAACAGAGCTCGGGTGAGAAACACACAGCATGGCGATACAAAGCAGACTTACCTCGTCATTCTTGTCATGTATGTGTGCCAGATCAATAGCTAGAGAGCGTTGGAGGTAGGAGGACTGTCAGCCTCTTGAGTAGCCAGAGCAGCGTCAGGTGAGATCATGATCACCCAGATATTACTGTCTTCTGTCAGCTGTGAGTCTGCTCACAGCAGTGAACTGCTTGGATGGCGTAGGTTTCGTACGGACGGTCGGTCGGTCACTGCCCAAGGTGCGAGACGGTGTGTTTCATGGCCAATCGGCGTGCATATGAGACAGACGTTCCAAGAAACATTCACGGCCGAACAGAGAACGACAGAGGACCCAGACGGGCATGTAGAAGAGAATACAGGCAACTCTATGACAAACACGTACAAAAAAATGTAAGGACACGCAACAGAAACCATCGATTGTCTACAGGCCAAGACACCGAAGCATCTGGACATGCACATCGTATCAAATCACACGCAAAAAGGTGAGAACAGTCCTGGCGATCAATAGAGAGACACATACAGCACAGGCATGAATGCAGACAGAGCATGAGCATTGCAAGACGACAGAACGACAAGCAGGACAGCTAACAGTAAACCGATACATATACACATGCACTGTACACACATACTCAGTCGGCTCTGGGGAAGCTCCTCAAGAGCGTGGCCCCCAACAAACTCGACATCAAGAAGGCCAAGGACATCAAGAAGAAGCTGGACAAGAAGTAATTCCACACACACACACACACACACACACATGTCCCCTCCTCGGTCATTTTGTGTTGACGCCCTGACCCCATCGTTTTAGTCTGCACCTCCCGGCCACACCACACCTGCTCTGCCTCTTCATGTTTGTTTGTGCTGCGCTGTGCTGTGCTTTGCTGTGTTGGGCTGTCTGCTCGTCCTCGTGCCTGTTTCATGCTGCGTGCGTTCTCTGCCTGCTCTCTGCCTGTTCGTGTTCGTGTCCTGCTTCATGCTGCGTATTGGTCACCCTACACCACACACACACACACACACAAAACTCATGACCTGTGATGCGCCGTGCCTTTTCTTTATTCAAGCCACTCACTCACCTTCATGCTGTTCCATGATGGGATGCTTCATGTATGTGGACACACCTCCCCATTCTCCTTAACAGCGCTGTCACCTGTGGGGGTCGTGCATCGCGCTCAGCTCGCTGGGCGCCTTACTTGTGTGTTTACGTTGCGAGCGGGGGGGGACGTTTTGACCTTCTGTGCCCCACCGCCTTCTTGATTGAGCGGATTCGGGGAATGGTTGAAGGCTGATTCGCTTCATTGCGTCAGATCGGTAGGTCGCCTGCCTTCCACAAGCAAAGCGATTCATTCACACACATCATTCACAGCGCCTGTGTGTGTTGGCGTCCTTCCTTGTCAGTCACGTCAGTCATCAGCAGCAGAAGCAGCGACCTGGACTCGCCGGCTGTCAACGGCGAGGCGGTCCGTTGCATCTTCCGCGGCTCGCGAGGTCGACTGCTCAAGGTCAAGGACGTCGGCAGCCTCAGGATGGCGGCCCGCCACCACAGCCTCGTCGACTTCCCTGCCAATGCACTCCGCACACGCCTCACCCAATCGCTGCATCGCAAACTGCTCGCCGACGGCTCACGGCTCGACACCGTGCTGGTCTTCGACGCCCAGACGGTGTCTGAGTCACGTGTGCTGCTGCCGGCCGTGTGGCTGGTGGAGGAGCAGACGTGGGACGAGATCGCCGACATACTGCGGCTGGCGGCGCACTGCGGCCGGTGCACCCTGCCGGTGCGGCTGACTGCTGACGATATCAACAGACACGCCAACAAGACGGTGAGACGCACACACAGGGGCGGGAGGGCACAGAGAGGGCCTCATTCTTCTTTCTCTCTCTGTGTGAGTGGTCGTGTAGGAGTATGCGTCGCTTCCCCGTGTGTTGGCCCAGCTCATGGTGGTGGGGCTTCATGTGGACTTCGGTGACGGCAGCCGGCTGGAGCTGTTCCGCCACGGCCATGAGGTGCGGGCCATCAATGACGAGCCCGGCTTCCGGCTGACCCGCAACCCGCACCTTCCGCCCGGCCACCTGTATGAGCAGCACCGACTACAGGACGACCCGCCAGTGGACAGCGCCATCTTCTACTCGGGCTCAGCATGGACTGGGCCGTTCGTCAACAACACCTACGCGTCCTCGTCGTCGTTTGCCAAGAGCTTGACCATCGACCATTTCTACCTGACTCACCAGATCAATCACACATCGATATCCCTCAACAGGTAACCCACCGATGGTACCAGTGGGCGAGAGGGGTGCGTGTTTGATTGTGTGTGCGTGTGATGTGGTTGGTTCAGGGGTGTCTGTGGCGGTCGTCTGGATGACCTCCTCATCCAGTCGCCCCACACACCGGTGGCCGGATGTAGCACCACATTCAGCAAGACGGACGGTCATGTGCGAGAGCTGTTGCTCACCAACAGCAGCCACAACTTCGTCGCATGGATCTACATCCAGGACTTTCCGCGCAACAGAGGTCAGGCCGACAGACAGGCAGCTCTGCTGGTCACGTGCCACTAATGTGTTCTCTCCCTTGTGTGGCTGCAGTGGATGTGATTGTGAGGACGACCGAGGCGGCTGTGTGTGAGGGTGGTGCCTTCAAGGACCGCTTCCCAGTGACCACTCAGCTGGCGCGTGCGGTGCTTCGGGCCGTCATCTCGGCCATGCTCTTCGACCAATAGACAGCTCAGGTATGCACCAAACACGACTGACACGGGCAGCAAATGCGCACACACACGACCCCAATGGTGTCTGTCTTTCTATGTGTGTGTCAGGTTGGGCCGTGGTGGTGACAGGGGGAGGGACACTGGCGGCCGCATAGATGGCTTCAATGATGTGTGTGCGCGTGGGGTTTTCCGACTGGTTAGTCTCTGTCTGCCAATGCGCTTTTCGATATGCGTGTGTGCATTCATCAGTGGCTGGCTGCCCTGTCTGTCTGTCTGTCTGTTTTGCCTCTCTCTCGCCATCTGCCTGACTGACTGACTTGCCCATCAGTCTCCTCTCTGTATGCCGCCATGCCAGCGCATCGGGGTACTGACATCAAGTAGCCAGCGCGACAGGAATACTCTGACGCGCTTCTCTCTGCGTCCGTCTTGTATGTATCTATGAATGGATGTCGTGATGGGTGTGTTCATTATCCACTGGTGTGTGCGTCTATCGTTTGGCGTTTGGCGGGCGAATAGGACTGGGGACACCAAAAGAAAGACGTAGCTTTATCATCATATAGATGAGGGAATGCACGAGTGGTCGACAATGTAGCTCACGCACTCAAGTGCAGCGCTGCACTCTGCCACACCGACACACACACACACCCAACGAAAGAAGCACGAGAATGCACAGACGCACGCACGCACACAGATCCCGAAACAGCGAAGGGCGTTCGGTTCAATTGGCGTATACAAATCGCCAATCGTCGCAATTTCCCGCCCGCCATGTACGTATGTCTGGCCGGCGCGAACATTGTGCTGACGCAGCACATACATACATGGCACACGCACCAAAAGGGATGAAAATTAAGTGCCCTGGTCGACTCCACCCCCGCCAGCCAGCTGCCCAAAGAAAAATGAGAGAAACAGCCAACCCTCTCAACAACAGGAAAACCCGAAGAACCAAGGAGAGACATTCACGTGGTGAGCCGGAGACACCCACATACATGGTGATGCATACGCTCGTGCATTCACCGTGCAGCGTGAAATCCTCCAGCCAGCCGTAGGCCCGCAAGAAAGAGCGGAAGGAAGCACGTTGCCCCTGCAGTGTGGGCATACGAACATACCATACATACATCAGGGGAGACTTTGACGTACTCGTCGAAAATGCATTCGTGTGTCCGTCCGAGTGTTGTGTTGGTGCGTGCACCCGCACATGAATCATGCAACACCCAGACAGACAGACAGACAGACAGGCCAGTGGACCGATTCACGGAGGGAAGGACACAAAGCCAGCAGTGCGTGCAGCATAGACAGACAGAGGGAGAGAGAGAGAGAGAGAGAGAGAGATGGTCGAAAATTGACCACCTTGACGCTACACAGCTTTCCCCGTGCCATCTATGTATGCAGCGCCTCCCCGCCCGCCCAAAGTTACTCGGAACAGACAAACCCACATACACAAATCCACCGACGGGCGAGGCGAGACGAGACGAGAAATAAGCTCTGCAGTGACAAGATGACAGGGATCGCACACAGACAGACAGACAGACAGGCGAGACGAGAAATCACAGGGCAGAAAGGCAGGCGCTTGAGCACGCACTCAGCCAGCCAGTCAGTCAGTCAGTCCCGCAAAAAACACCGTACGTTCACTCACTCACTGACCCATTCACTCATTCATTCAGTCGCATGCACACACACACGTATGTTGGTGCCAGCCCAGCCAAGCTCACTAGAAAAGGCGCTGCCTTCCTTGTTCGTTCACCCCACACCCCACATGTACCGCACCACATTCAGTCAGTCAGGCGGCGGTGCATGCGGGTGAGGCCAGGACAGCCGACTTGATGAACCCTTTCCCCTCGCTGCCCAGCGGCTCCACTTGGTAATATACGCAGCCGCTGGGATGGAAGGGGCTCTTCGGCCACAGGTCGATGGAGTGCTCGAAGCGCCTCCTCGGGTGCCCAGCCACGACCTCCAAAGTCCGCGGATCAGACCCAGCGTACACGCGCCACTGAGCCACCTCGGTGGCACCGTTCCAGCTACATATACGCACGCAGAAACCAAAGCAGGTCACTCACTCCAACAGAAGGGGTCTTGCCGTGACGTGATGTGACGTTTTCGCCTCTCTGTGTCTCTTGTCGCCTTGCCTGTAATGCAGCCGAGGCGGCCGATCGTCGCTCCACTGCCCCTGGTTCGTGTCAAGCACTAGGAGCGGCGGCCAGCGAGGCTCACCACGCCACTTGTGCTTGCGGGTCCGATACGAATTGCCGTCGTTTTCGAGCTGCATCTCGAGCACAATCTCTCCCTGACGAGTCACCTCCGTATAAAAGGGGAGAGGGCCTGTCAGGTTGAGCCCTCCCCAGCCTGCACGCAATGGAATGGCGCAAAGACGTGTGGGGGGCCTGCCTTGTTTGTGTCTTCATCTGCTCACCGATGGCCATGTTGCCGTTGCCGAGCCTCTGTGTGGAGCCCATGAGCATGCTGTATCGCCCGTCGCTGTAGTTGAAGACAAGATGGGCCGTGCGGGTGTCCTCGTCAATGGCGAACTCCAGGGCACGCGACACCTCGGGGTCGTTCTCCATCCCGTTAGCAAACAGCGTCAGAGTGTTGGCATCGGAGAAGCGGACGTCGTGCCTGCAATCAACCAGCAAGGAACGAAACGATAAATATGAGTGCCAGCTGGCAAGCCGTGTGTGTGTTCCGCGTACTGGTGCGAAATGGGAGGGTGCAGAGGCGGATCGAAGGCGAAATCATTGAAGTCCGGGTGACGTCCGAACATGCGCCACATCACCTCACCCGTTTCTGCATGCATTATGTATGTATCTATGGGCGTCATTGGAGGCGGCCATCCTCTCGCTCACTCCCTCACGTACCTCGTGACACTTTGATGGCACCAGAGACCCGCGGCAGAGATAGCAGGAGATGTCCGTCGGGCGTCCCTGAACGAAGACGAAGGAAGACATCCAGCAAGCAACAAGGTGTGCTTGGCAATCCGTCTCGTCTCTGTCGTTGTCGCGTGTCTGTCCATCGGGCCCACGTACATGACAGCGCATTCATGTGCCTGCACGCACGAAAGAGAAGCTCACATCAACACAGGGGAGACGTGCTTGTCATGATATCAACACACACATTACATCAGGTCCCAGTCTCCATGGTGTTTTGCCTTGTCCTTGGCGGTCCATCGCATTAGCTCGTCGGTGGAGAAGTGGTCAATGGACCGCCATTCGAAGACCATGTTGTCTTTAGCCAGCCAAGCAGACAGACAGACAAAGGAAAGCACACACACAAGCCACACGCACGCACACACACACGCTGCATCACTCACCCGCCTGTCACCGTGTATGTATGACTCTTGGAGCTACCTACCCGCGGCGTCGAACTCTTGGACTATGTGGAATCGGAGGAAATCGTCGACTTTGCCGTTGTGGGCCATACCGGTCGTGTTGACTCTCTCGTGGGCGGTCATGTATAGCAAGTAGCCGCCATCCGACCCGATCTCGAAGTCGTGGGAGTCTGATTTTTCAGTCTCGTAGCCGTACGGGGAATACTCCTTCACCAGCTGATAGTGCTCATCGAAGGACTGCCGCACTGAACACACACACGTACACACACACACACACGGGCGCGTGTACATGTGCATCTGTATGTATGTGCTGTGCTGTGTGTACGTCTGGACCTCTGCCTCCATCTTGCATCAGTGACAGGCGTCCGCTGTCGTGTATTGAGGGCCTCGCGTTGCAGTTCTCGAAGTAGGGTTTGTCGAGCTGGTTGCGGTGCTGCTTGTAGAAAACGATGTCGCCCCGACTGTCCAGAAGCAACGTGTACGGGTGCCACTTCGCATTGACTAAACCAAAAGCCGCACACACACACGCACACACACGCACACACACACGCAAAGGACAGGCGTCCACTCCCACGTCGTGTGTGTGTGTGTGTGTGCAAGCATTTGCTTACCTTCGAGGTCAGGGTTCGTGAACATGATGTTTGTGGTCATGAGAATGTATCCGTCGTCCACTTTGCCGGGCTTGGGTGGAACGTTCACGCGGACGTGCGGAAGGGTCGGCGGAATGGTCCGATATCCGCGATATCTGAAGGCAACAAGGCCATGCCAACCAAACCAATGCATCCGTATCGCATCGCATCGCATCGCATCGCATCGCGCCAGCAGCATCAGCAGCATCACGACGTCCTGCCTGCATCCTGCCTACCGCCGTCGTGGGTCGAGCGACACCCCGTGCCCATAAAGCTCTATGGCCTTGCCGTCCTCGTACAGTGGACCATAGGCATGGACGTTATCGCCACCACTCATCGGGCGCACTAAGCCGTCATCATAGGAGTGAATAGGTTGCTCCCACGGGGTCCCCGCGAGAGTGAAACCGTCCCTTGAGTAGAGTGGCTCAAATAGCAGTTCTTCCTGCTGTATGGACGAGACGCCGAAGGACCACTCCGCCCCCGGTAGGCTCCTTCCGTTGGTGGTGGTGATGCCGCGGAGTACCTTTACTTCCACGCGGGCGCCCGCTACACACACACACACAGAGAGAGAGAGAGAGAGAGGGAGGAGACGTTGTGAAGACGGAGTCCTTCCCCACGCACCCGGGAGCGTCCCATAGGGCTCGAATATCACCGTTTTTCCGTCCATCGCCAGCACAATTTTGCCGTCATACAAATCGCCGCTTTCGGCGTTCCTCACTGTGATTTTGCCGGCGACCGAGTCCGCGTGCACCCTCGGCCCCCTCAAGATGATGCTGGTGTGGCGCGAGACCAGGTGAGCCTTTGGTCTGGGGTGGAGGTAGGTGAAGGAGGCGGGCTGATCACCGGGCTGCCCCTGCAAGCTCCGCAGGTTGCTTTGCCTTTGCACCACCGTGACATTGGCGGAACATGCTGAGCGCCACACGAAGAGCAGGACAGGCAAGGTCGCTGGCCATGGGGCTGCAGGCCCGACCATCGGATCCACACACAGCTGGCGGTCGACGAATGAAGGGAGAGGAAACAGAACAGCAAGAGAGGAAGGCGTTCCCGCCGTACGCCGTGGCCGGATTTGGCCGTTGATGTTGGCCGGGGCCCCGCCCGGGTCGACACACATGTGCGCCACCTGTCCTAGCCACCGAATGGCGCTCTCCATCGCCGTTACGACCATCCTTTCTTCACACCAAAGCTTGCAGCTAAGCTCGCAGATCCCGAGAGCGGACCGAGAGCGACAGCGACACTGACTCAGGACCCCTGGCCTGCTTGATTCGTCAATCATCTGTCCGCCTTTGCAGTGGTACATCTGTGCGTTACTTCGCTCACTGAGTCAGCGTGAGTGTGCTGTGGAGGTCGCTGACCCTTTCTCCCCATCGATACGCCTCTTTACAGCGAGAAGAGTCAAGCAAACCTCCTCTAAGAAAGCAACACACGAGGGTGGCGGTAGTCTGAGGAGAGCGGCGCACATCTCTTCTTTGCACTGCCCTGTCAGCCGTGTTTGAGAGTGGCGCCATGGCAGCGGCGGCGTCAGTAGCAGCTTCAGCTTCATCATCTGCTGCTGCTGCGCCTCAGGCAGAGGTCAGTCGAAGCACAACAAACACACACTCATCAATGTGTCAGAGCATCACTGATTCATACCTTTGTTCATTTGGTCATCCAAATCGTCAGGCAATGCCGTCCTCTTCGCCGTGCCGTTACAAAGAGGGCAGTCGTGTGCTGATGGTGACCAACGGGCGGGAGAAGGGCAAGCAGAGGTGGGTCAAGGCCGACGTGTATCGCATCGAGGAGGGCAGTGGACGGACGGCGCTTCACTTGAGGGAGGTGGGCGGACACCGGGAGGAGTTCAAAGTGCTGGTGCCGCACAACGAGACCACGGCGCTGACGGACACTAACCAAATGGCAACCGTGGTAGGCAAACACACCTCAACCAAAAGGGCCGTGGATGGCACTTTGTGATGCTTGGTGCTTTGGTGTGGGGTGTGATGTGTGTGCAGGGGTGGGACGTTAGCAAGAAGGTACAGACGGCCACACACGACACACGACCGATGTCAGCCACTCTCATGCGGCCTCTCGTTGTCTTGTGTTTGGCTTCAGGTTCCTGCTGGTTTTGGGGACGACCTTGTGGCGTCGCTCTTCAGCTTCATGACCCCTCGGGAGCTGTCGGCCATCTTCCCACCCCCTCGCAGCACCGAAGCCGAAACGACCGTCCTCCCCAACAAGAGGCCTCGCAGACGGAAGCCGACACCCAGCATACCGAAGTGGTAAGTGAGCAGAAGGACGAAGCGGAAGGAATTGAATGCCGAGAGCGATGCACCCATCTATCCCTTCCCCTGTCGTTGTTTTCTTGTCAGCCGTCTTCCATCCGTTGGCGGCCACGGCGGCACCCACTTCCCTCCCTCCCTCATGGCATCGTCTTCCGCCCTGCCCTCGACCACTGGCGGTCCGCTCTTTGCGGGCACCGCCTTCGGCCCCCTCAACAAGGGCGAGACCACAGCTGCGGCCAACGAGGACACCGCCGACGGGGTGCCGCCGGGTGCGCCAGCGGCTTCGTCTCTGTTTGGCGGCTTATCTCTCTTTGGCCTAGCGACGGGAGGAGGGGGCCTGTGGAGTGCTGCCGCAGCTGCGTCATCAGGCGGCGGCACCTCGTCGCTGTCCACATTTGGCGCAGCCACACCCACACCCAGGCCAAGCACCGACGTCTTCAACGGCCTAAGTGACGCCCCTTCGCCCGCCGCGACCACCACCACCACCACCACAGCCCCAGTGGACCGCTTCAGTGGCAGCATCTTCGCGCCTGCCAAAGCGCCATCCACAGCACAGTCGACAGCCACACCCTTCAGCAAGCCATTCGAGTTCGGCAAGGCATCCACGGGGGGAGGTGGTGATCTCTTTCATGTTGGGGCGGCAGCGTCGGGAGGTGGCTCTCTCTTCGGCGAAGTCGGGTCGACGGGCAGCTGCACTGGCAGAGGGAGCCTGTCTGGCCAGGGCGGGGCTGCCACGGGGACGGGCGGCATATTCGGCGGCAGCATCTCTGGCGGGACTGGTGAGTGACGAGGGGGCACCACATGGCTGGCTGGATGGAAGGATGGATGGATGGATCACCCGCATGCTCCCTGTGGCTGCATGTGTGTCCATCGATCAGGTGTGGCGGCGTCGTCTTCATTCAGTGGACCGTCATTGTCAGCTCGGGGCAGCATGCTTGGCGGCCCGGCCTTCGGGCAGCAATCATCCTTCGGTGCCGCACAGAGCGGCCTCTCCCCCATCCACACGGCAGCCCTTCATCAGCAGACACACGTCGCCATCGACTCTTCCACCGAGGACGACCGCCAGTTCTGGGACAGCATGACCACTGAGGAGGCCTTCCAGCTCGGCAAGCGGCTCGTCAATCTCACGGCCCTCACCCTCGTGCAGCCACACAGCGACCGGTGGTGGTGTCTGGGCAGCATGATAAGCGTCGTCGAGGGCCATGCGGCCGGGCGTCGCGAGGCGCGCGACAAAGAGGGGCAGCACCATATGGCGGAGGGATCGCTGGAGACCATCGACTTCACCACCACCAGCACCAGCCCCAGCACCACCAGCAGCCCCAGCCCCAGCATCACCGGCAATGTGAACCAGCACCGTCCCCCGATCCCCCCTTCATTTGCCCCACCACCGACCCTCCATGCCCGCAAGGCCGTCACAGGAGCCGTCCAACAGCACAGTGTGCTGGTCAACACTCGCTGGAAGATGCCGGCACTCGAGAGTGTGGATCAGGACGGGTGGGATGCCATCACGTTGGGCCGATCCATCAGCTCGTCTCAGTCGCTGAAACGAGTGGAGGGGTGTCGGCGGTCATGGGGGCGGTGGGCTGATTTGTTTGAGCACTTCTCCGAGACACCTGACGGCCAGCCAGGGCCGCTCAGGCAGCTGCAGACCGTCGGAGGTATCGCATTGTCCTGCAGGCCGACGAGTCGGAGTCAAATAGAGGCGTACCTGGAGGGAGTGAGGCGACTGCAGGTAGGCAACCATCACTCAGGGGAGGCCTCACCTGCGTGCACACACACACGAATGGTGTCCTTCTCTGTTTGTGTCTTTCTAGGATGTGCTCACGTCGCGTGGCTGCCGCAAGTCGCTCACAAGCCTCGACGTAGAGATCCCATCATTCGCGGGCCAACACAGCCTCTCTGCCCTGCTGGCTGTCGATGACTTCATCAACACCTGCTGCACCTCGCCGGACGTGCCGCTTAGCGTGACGACTGGGGGAAACATCTTCAACTTGGCCGTCTTCTACGCCGACGCATTCCCTCCTCGCCCCTCGCCCTTCATCAAGACGGCCATTCAGGAGGCGGCACAGCAGACGATGTGCGTGGCCTACACCATCAGCCAGGACGACCTCACCCACCCCCTTGACGACCCCAGCCAGGCCGCCGTCGAGATCGCAAAGACACTGTTATTCGACAAGGTGAAGTGGGTGTCGGTCGACAATGCCAATGGCTTCGTCCCCCCTCCCGGCACCACCTCCCCAGCCCCCGCCATCATCAGCCACCTCCAGCAGCTCCCAACGGGGAGAATACTACACATCAGCAGCGGTCTGGGAGGCGGTGCGGGGCGACTGATGGCAGAGAAGATGCCCAGGGAGGTGGAGAGACGTGTGGAGAGGGTGCAGCTTGGCTCAGATGTGGGCACAGAGGAGAGGAGCGGCGTGCTGAGAGCGCTGGGGGCGGAGAGGGAGGTGCTCACTGTCGAAGTTGGTAGACAGGCGATCAGCGTCACTCAGGGCGGCGCCTTTGACGGCTGGGGGTCCAATCGCTTCCCAGCGATTCGCAACATATACATGGAGTTAGCAGGTATGCCGGGAGGGCAGTGATTTGCAGGAAAGTGTTCGTCGGTTCATCGTGTGTGTGTGTCTCATCCGCCTTGTCTGTGTGTCTTTCAGTTCCCGATGACCTGGAAGATGATGTTGCTGTCGAGCTCATTAGCAGCGGCCTGACGTCTCTGCTCGACGGGGGCGTGCGCGGCCTCGAGTGTGTGAAAGTGTGGCTGTCGGGACTGTCTGGCGACCGTGTCGAAACCATTCGTCAGCTGCTCCCAAGCGGTGTGGCGATCGGCGACTTCTACGTCACCACACAGGATGGATGGTCGGCCTCGCACATTAAAATAAGGGCAACTCGTCGCCCTTAGATGGAGGGTGAGCCGGACAGGCAGAGCGATCGACGTCTGGCCTTGTCAGGACCCGTGTGTGTGTTGTGTGGTCAGACTGTCTGTGTGTCACACGAGCCACACAAGGAAGGCCATTGGTGCGGGTACCTCTACAGGCACATGGATGGATGGATGAATGCGTGTATGTGTGTGTGTGTGTGTGGACTCAGTGTTTATGCTGCGTGTCCATCAATTAATACTCTCTCACTGGCATCCCTCCCCACAGATGAATACACACTGTATTTGAACGTGGCGCGCACAAGTTCACGTCTGCCCCCACTGCAACTAATGCACGAGTGTGTGCATGCACGAAGCCACCCGCCACAGGCATGCCGGGTCATGCAAGACAGCGAAAAACGAGTGCAAAACACTCGGCCGTGCGATGTGTCAATGCACTTCACACACACAAGTTTCTGCCTGTCTGCCTCCCCCAGCAGCAGTCACGTGGAGCGCGCCTTCATCATCGTGGAGCGGAGTGCTGAACACACAGAGAGGGGGAAAAGGACATGAAGAGGGCCGAATTTTCATAGCGCGCGTGTCTCTGCTTCTTTCCCACGCTCCCGCGTTTCTGACCTGCAGTGCGTAGATCTCCATATCGGCAGCAAAGAAGTTGAAGCTGGAGGCCAGGCTGCCGTGGCCCTCGTCGTCGATGGTCCCGATGTACTTCTTGGCTGCCGGCAGCTCCTCCTTCACCCACTGCTGGCAGCTGCGAAGGTCACCTGCCGGGCGGCGACAGCCGATTCCCAGCCACAGGCGGCCGGGTGCGGGTCACCAACGCACACCTTGCTGACCGTCTCGTGTTTTCAATTCTTGCCCGCCCCCTGTGCCAGCTGGTCTGACGGCTGCACTCCTGGAGAGGCCCCTTTTGCAGCAGCGGGGTTCTTCGTCCGAGGATGAGTAGAATGAAGTTTTCTCGCTTTCCCCCGCATCCCTGTCTGCTGGCCGTCTCAGATCTTCGCAGAAGCGTCCGTTTTTCTCTGCCTTTCTCAACCGGGACGATCAGAAGCTCGCACTGGTGGCGAGGGAAGGAGGAAGAGGGGAACGCCAGCAGTTTCGTTGATAGGACCACTGCACGCGGCTGATCGCATCTGCTCTCGAATGTGACCATCGGACGGAGTGCGTCCTGTGTTTTTTCCTCTTGCCGGTACGCAACAACTTGTATTGCCCATGAGGGCACGACGAACACAGACACCAACATCATTCCGTGTGTGCTTATGTGGTGCAGGATATAGAGCTGCCGGGATCTGATGGCGAGTAGCGGAGCAGGGGCACCGACGGTGAGTGAGCACCCACACAGCACGACACACGCATCCATTGGGTACGTCACCTGGGCGGCGTGTGTGTGTGTGTCAGTCGGACCCCAGTAGGTGTTGGTTGGTGGGCTTGCCCGAGGATGTGGAGAGGCAACTGCTGGCCTCCCTCACGGCCGACGACTGCGGCCCCCTTCGAGCCTCATCCAAGATCGTCGGCTGCCAGCTGATCAGCGAGGCCTACCTTACGGACCGCCTCGACGCTGCTATTCGCGACAAGGGCCTCAGTGGAGTGCTGACGTACCAGAAGCGCTGCGAGACGGTCCTGCTGCTTCTGCTGCAGTGGATCGCGGCCATTTTCGGCGCGGCTTCCACTTTCGTTCAAGGCCTCGTGGGTCTGAGCGCTCTCATCGTCGTTTATGTGGTCATCCTCGCCTGTACCATCGTCGTGATCTGGAAGCCCTCTTGACTTTCTGACGCGGCCGCTGCGTGTATTACCGTGGATTCAGTTGAGCATCAAGCTGCTTACTGTCTTCGTGATCCCGTTTGCCGAGATTATGGTGGTCGTCCGATTGCTTGGGGAGGCGTCCCTCATTGTGCGAGCGTATAGGCAATGTTGGGTGGCGGTGCTCGAGGCAAACGACATTTTTGAGTCCGTCGAGCGCCGTGTCAGGAGTGGCCTACGTGTGGCGCTGGCGATCGGCAAGGTATACCTCAACTGTGCTGTGGCGCTTCTCGGCATCTCCAATATCTACACCGCCTGGTTCATCGCATGGCTGTGGTCCCCGACCGAGGAGTTTTCAGTGTAGCTGGGCGGGAAGAGATCTCTGGACGGGCTGCACGGCCGCGCACTACTCATCGATGTGGTCATCCCATGGCTGCTCTGCATCTTATTGTCGGCCTGCTTGGTCGTAGTGGGCCTTCAAATCTGGAGTGAGCTGACGCATGTGCTGCTGCGGATCATCGACGGCAGGGTGGGGTATCTGTTGCGAGTGCTGTACGTCATCGAGGAGGGCGGCTGCTGGGACCGGTGTGTGTCGCTCATCCACTACCTCAAGAACAGCAGCCGCCTCCTCCCCTCTCTGCCCATCATCATCACGGCATACGACCTGCAGCAGGTGGGCAGCCGGGCGGTGTTCAGCTCGCGACCGCAGGCGGTCCGTCAGTACTCGCTATTTAGCCACCGTCTCTCTGTCGCCTTTGCCAACGGCCGGCGTGTGGGTCTCATCTCTGTCAACGGCCGAGACTATCTAGGCGGCTCAGCAGACAGCAATGCGCTGACGTACGTCAGCATCGATTTGAGTGATCCCGACCCGCCGACCAGACGTGAGCAGAGCAGCCGGGAGAGCGAACACACACATGGGAGGGATAGCGGAGAGAGGTGGATGTGTGAGTCGTTTGTTACCTGTCTGCTGTCTGTCTGTAGGTGGCAAGAACGTATTCTCTTCGTTCACGGACACCATCGCCTTCCTGGTCGATGTGTACAACGAGATGGACCCCCGGCTGCGCCCCCACTTCACCCACCCAAGTCGGCTCATCACTCCACCTCCCACCCAGTACCAGCTCACGGAGGACATCTTTCGGCACACAAGGGGCCAGTGGAACGGCTGCCGCAAAGCGGCCTACTGGTGGGTCGACAACGCAAATGTGCTGCGGCATTGGGGGATCTTCATTCTGTTTGGGGACAAGGCGGCTGACGAGTTTCTTGTCTGCATCGACTCGGACCTGTGGATCTGCTCAACAGAGCCCCCTGTGGCTTCGGGGCGCCGCCCAGATGAGCGGTACCCTCGCACAGCCGCACGCATCCGCGAGAAGGTGGTGGCCGCATAGCGGGCGGCCGGCTGGCCGCCTCACAGAGAGAGAGAGAGAGGGGGGGGATGAGTGTGAGTGGGTGGATCCGTATAGCTAGTGGTGAGACAAGGGAGTGCTGGTTTAAGTCTCTATTTGTTCATGAGATGGTGGGTGCACCCGGGCCACGTATGGCGTGTGTGTTTCGGGCTGCATTTGTGCAGACAGACATTGCAGCGGGTGGTGGCTGGCCTTAGTTATCTGGATGCTCTACTTGAGTAGAGAGGGCGGGGAGGGGCGTGTGCATTTCTGTTGTGATGCTTGTTCGTTCGTGTGACTTCTTGTGGATCGATCAATTCTTCCGGTCGCTCTAGCTAGCTGCACACGGTCACCGCATGGCCTTCCTTCTAGCTAAGCCCATCTGTCCACCAGATGCCGCTGTGTTCGATCGCGGTCGTGTGATTCTGACTGATTTATAGCTGCGTTGCTCCCGCTGACGTGGATATTCACTGCCTCCCTCTCCCCGTCAGTCAGTGTGTGTGTGTGTGCGTGTGGATGCGTCAGTAATGGCTGGCTTGTTGAGTGGGTGCACGGCATAATGGCGTCCATCCATTGGATTCACGTCGCTTGCGATCACGTCCATATAGCCATTCCGAAGCGCACAGCACACAACACAAACACAACACAAACACAAACAACACACAACACAACACAACACTTACGGCCAAACCAGCAGCAGCCCACACACAACACAAATACGCGACAACAGCACACAATACAACCATGGAGACACAGCTTCGATCAACGCACGGGTGGGCGGGGGGCACCACGACCGAACAGCGGGTAGGCCTGTCGACACACACACACACAGAGAGGGAGAGGGACTTGTGTGTGCGGCATGAGAGACATGAACGAATCGATGGGCATACATCGTCACTCACTGACTGACCTGATGATGCATGAAGGTGGGCGTGTAGATGGGCACCGCCATGGGGGTCGGCGTGGGACAGATCACTGTCCTGTTCACAGCCAGGGCGGGGCTGCCAGCTCCTGCTGGGGCAAGGTACCTGCACGCACAAAGACATCCCATACAGACAAAGGTGACACCTCCTGTTGGTGCTGATTGCCAGCTGGTGCGTTGCACACCTGTTCACTGGCAGTGGCCCGGGCTGGGGGGGCAGCCGTCTACCGTGGCCAGGTGCGCCTGTCGGTGGCACAGCGGGCAGAAGGCCTGCACCGGGCCTCACCTGCACGCACACAGAGAGACACAATGGGTCACACATGAGCGTCCTGTGGCCGCCCCGCGTCTCTTACCACTGGCTTTGGATTCGTCATTCTGGGGCTGGCATGGTTGGTGGGGTGGACAAACGGCCGGCTTTGTGTGCCGGGGGGAGAAAACACCTGACGACTCGTACCGAGTCGCGGCTGCACACACAGCACAGCAAATAGGTGGATGAGCCCATCCTCTATGAAAGCCATGCCGTGTTGGCTCTTACCGCTGCTTTGGGGGGCTGCGGCACCTCGGCGGTGGCTCGACGTCCTTGGGCGCCAGCCATCTCCTCCTCGTCGACCGTCAGCTGCCGAATGGCTGGGACCATGGCCTCCACGCCGCCGCCAAGATCATCTTGCTCAGCACTGTCCAGCACATCTGTTGTGATTGTTGTGGTCCCCCGCTGCGAGGAGCGGTTGGGGACCCGGGCGCTGGGCAGCACACTGCTGACTTCCCGGTTGACAACTCTCTGTTGTGTATGCAGAGGCACACGTAAAGCCGTGATGCGTCTGTGTGTGTGTCTCACCTGCTGAATGGGATTGTTCCACATGTGGTGGTGGATGCTTGGTGGGGTGGGTGGCGTCTGCTTGGCAGCGATCGGC